AGTCACTGCAGTCGGTAACGACTGAGCGCAGATTAAAAAAAAAACAACCCTAAAAATATAACCTAAAGCAGTCTAGCCTGAAGCTTTCACTTCCACTTCAGTAGGTAGACTAGATAAACCATACCTTCAGTCTTAAAAAGAAACCCCATCAGATTAAAGTTTAGTTGATGAATTGATAGAAGCAAACTTTTATTTAGGTGGGGTTCGGATCTGAACGACTTCTGAAACCATCTTCCTCCCCATCTGCAAATGTATACCTCTCAGGCAACGTACGTGTCTTTTAACAGCAATGCAGTTTATTTTTACATTTTTACTCCGCTCTTTATCCAAAGCAGCTGACGGCAATACAGAAGATACTATTTCATTTTGACATGAATAATTCTATTAGGTGGGGTTAGGCTGAGAAAGCAATTGATCCAGGAAGCCTTGTGATGAAGTTGAAATTTCAATTCGATCTATTCTGTTAAAATGGCATCTTTTTGGCTTTTTTGTTTTTATATATATTTTTTTAAAAAATGTTGAGCTGGGGCTGTGTGAATATTCCTTGGAGCTGAATTTCTGAATTGATGCAAACATTAAATCAGATCCTTGCAAACTGATTTGGAAAGACTTGGATCTAACTGGACAATTTGACAGTGTACTGGGACATTGGCAGAATCCTTGGCCTGAATTCAATTTGAGGTCTTGCTGACATGCCCATTTCATTCTCACCATATAAATCAGTGTTTCTCAACCTGGGCCATTTTAAGATGTGGACTTCAACTCCCAGAATTCCCCAGCCAGTGTGGGAGTTGAAGTCCACACATCTTAAGATGGCCTAGGTTGAGACATGGTTACCTAAATGATTAACCAACTGCCCACTCTACTCATTTATGATTACGGTATCATCATGGAGGGATCAGTGGAAAAAAGAGCTCTAATTCAGAAACTGACACCTGGATTTATAAACCAAACAACAGCAAAAGAGGAGACTTTAGCAGAAATAAACTTTATTGATGCTTCTAGAGAGGAATTAATCAAAAATAAACAAGCAAACCTGAGTGGGACTAATCTTAAAAAGGGTTCTTAAATGGGACATTAAGTATTCTGTATTGTTGATTATATTATTCCCACTAATTGCACAAGGGAAGATGAGAACAGGCAATTTGGATTTAGGTATATTCTTAATCTACGCCTCTTACAGAACAGTTAACTGCCATTTTATTTTATGGCTGGGTTAACTGTTCTTACAACTGATGTGGAAATATCTTGTTGCCCAAAATCAGAGCCTCATGAGATAATCTCAACTACAGTTCTATCGATGCAAAAACAGGGCTCACAGAGTTGAACACCTTTAAAAGCAGGTATAGCCAAGTCTCAGGGTGGCCTATTCAAGGAATTCAAGTACCAGAGTTTCCCCCCCCCCAACAGACAAGTTCTCAAGACTGACATAGGCCAAACGTTAGGCCTGACTTTTGCGCTCACCAGAGGAACCACCTGAGGAATGGGATGAAACACAGGTTGGTTTCTCTAATCTCTGTCATGTAGCGCTGTTGGCTTGAAAGTCTGCTGGTATTAAAAAATCCAAGACAGATCTTTGCTTTTTGGATATGCTCCACTCACGCACTGTTTTTTTGTGATTTTGCAGCATTTTCTAAGATTCTTTGTTTCCATTCTTCATAGTCTTCTTTAGGTTCAATTTTATTCTTTGGACGTTTCCGAGGCACCTCTGCTTCCAGAACTAATGAAGAGAAAAACATATACACACAACACACGTACACACACACAGTTCTGAGAAGCAGCTTTCTTATGATACACAGTAAAGAAATGCATTACTGGATCCCCCTAGCTTATTAAGAACTTTTTTGCTGCACCTCTAGCTGGTATTTAAATACATTTTTTTGGAACAGGTTTGGGTGAGCGACTCAGGCACTAAATCAGCTTGGTTGTTATAAGACGGGGATGACATCTATGATTCAGGTGGAAGATTAATACTTTGTTTGTTTGCCACTGGAGAAAGTCATATGAGCTACTGACTTTGCTGAGCGAAGGGAAAAACTTTGTATTAATGTTCTCCAACCTGATGACCTCTGGAATTCTGGACTTCAGCATCTAGAATTTCAAGCTAGGATGGAATTCTGTGTTTTGGCTATAAAAGCTGGGAATTATTTGAGGGTAGTGGGGTAGGGATATTCCCCAGATGAGGAACCTGCCTATAAATAAACCCCTCTTATAGCATGGTTCCCTTTACCTTCTTCCTCTGCAAGATCTTCAAATAAGGATTTCTGAGGTTCAGCAAGCTTCATTGACGATGAATCACTTTCTCCTTTAGAAGAAAAGGAAAATACCTTCAACAAGTTTAGGCAACCTTTGAATGCACAAGAATGGCTACATTCAGTTGAATAAGCCATAGTGGATAAACTGAACTGGGAAACTGGTTGTACTTTGTAGCAAATAGGGAGCCAAGGTTCAGAACCGTGTCAATTCAAGGTGGTGAACGTACTTAATAGTCCTGCCACCTATTTTCCCCACAACACAACCTTATGAGGTGGGTTGGGCTGAGAGAGAGTGACTGGCCCAAAGTCACCCATCCAGTTGTTAGCTCTCCTTTCTTTCTACAACTGAAACTAGAGGTAAATAGTTGGTTCAAACTTTGGAGGAACAACATTGGGCCTAGTAAACAGCTAAGTTCTCATATTGTTCTAAAGTTCAAATAAGATTTGGTAGTAAGCTACAACTGGATATGGTTACATACTTCTATAAATCATGGCCTACCAATCAAGATAGCTAAGTTTGCCCACCATGCAAAGCTTAAATAGTTTTCCGACTAAAAGTTTACAAAAAAGGGAATCTGATCTTTACAAGTTGAAAAAAGCGAATCAAGACAGAAAGCATAAAACAAGCCATACGGTTGATTTGTTGGTTAATCTTCTCTAACTGGGTGTGGAGACGGTCAAATACAGTTTTCTTCACCCCAGATACAGCCACCATTTTGGTTTTATCCACTTTAAGTTTCAAGTATCTGCAATGAGAAGATTCGATTCATGATCCCTCTTGCCCAAAGATTTAAACCTGCACCGTAACAGCTGCTGCTATCAAATCTCTCAATTAGAAGCTCTCAGTTCTAATTTACACTCCCCCAGCTTTTCATCACTAACAAGCAACAACTGTGTGCAATCAACCAGACATCAAAAAATCCAGTTAGCTAAATATGCCTATACTGAAAAGCGTTTCTTCTATACAACTCTCCAATATGCTATAGGTTCTATTCTTTTTTTTTTTTTTTTTACATTCAGGTTCTTTTGCCTCATTCTATGAAAATTCAGGCTTTTTTCAAGAGTTTCCCTTTTCTACTTTGGATAAAACCAATATCCTTACCCACATCTACTTGATTTCACCATTGCAAGAAAATGGAAAAGCAGCAAGAGACATGTCTGGAAAGCTGGTGTGAGCAGTGGTTTTTTAGATCTCTGTCTCAAAGGCCTGTCATTATTTATTGTTTTTTAAGGAGTATCATTTTTCCATGGTATATATGATTTTCTATGCCTTTCACTGCAAACAGGAATATTTAGGGTATTAGGACCTCCGATTCAGAGTTCTACCCCATGCGTTAGCTTGCATGCATATAGTAGAAGAACAAAGAAAGTGGAGGATGGGTCAAATTCTGAACATATCCATTTCCAGTTCCCCCAATTCCCAAACACTGTCCTCAACGTTTTTACTGGGCTTGCCGTCTCTGCGTCAAGTTCTCCTACCCAACAGAAGCATGGGCTCTATCAAAAAAATTGACCAGAAAGACTGCTGTGCACCATAGGAACTAGTTTTCATTCCTTTTGTGTCCAGTGCAAAACCTGAAAAACGTTTAATTTTTTTAAGGAATCTGATAGATAAGAGCAGACCATGAACCAAGAATCCTTGCTAGCCAAAAAATATTTTAAAACCAAACCACATGTCAAATCATAGCTGAATCACCCCTCCGCTGCGTCCCTAAACATTCCTGTGATAGGATGTTTGGGGGAAGGGCTCCTCCATGTGGAAAGACTGGTTAGAAGCTGGCAGCAGACATTGGACCTTAGGAGAACCCAACAGCTTACAAGTGCTGCACTGAGATTGCAATTCCCATCATTCACAACAGCTGACTCTTTTGGCTAGACAAGAACTGAAGCTCTATAATTTGGACTGTTCTAAACCTACCATCTTCAAGGCATTTTCTGTGGGCCCTTTGAACATTGCAGGGCAGCACTAAATAAATTCCACAGTCCTCATCATGTATTTTGCTTCTGAATTAATTACAAGGATAAAACAATAGGGCAGTTTTCTTTCAGCACTGGCATCACCATCAAAATCAGAGGCCATGAGAAATACTCCCTTAATGGTAGATTTTTAGAAGAAACTTGGTACATGGCACCAATAGTTTATCCCACTCCATCATTTGCACTTGATCTTCACCACAATCTGAGTCCCATCTCTGTGGTACACACTTTAAATCAGAGTCTGGGATAAAATCAGTGTTCTTTCTTCCAACTGAAGATATCAGCCCTCCCCACCATAAAATCAACCCAAGGAAAACTCTTTGGTAACACCTCTCCCAACCTTACCTGCAAGCAGTAAACAATGCCACAGTAGTGAATAAGGGTTTTGATAAATCAAGAGCTGTCTGTTGAGTTTCTGGCAGGCTGGATTCATACCTGAAAGAGCAAACCTTTTACTGAAGCCCCAGCAATTTTAATTCAACCTGAGATTCAGTTTATTTTTAGCTATGAAACCTTGCTATGCCTACTGTATAAACCTTTACACTGTTGAATATTCAAGAAAATCCTTTTACTGACTCTGTTGCTTATTCTTTCCTTATTTTAGGTATGGCAGATGGAACAAGTTATCCAAACAGCTTCACATTTTAATTATATTAGAGTGTTAGATCACTGGCTAAGGACTGTCAACTTTATGCCAATCCACTTTGTGCTCTCTAGATAACTTGAACTATAATCTTACAATACTTGACTGTGATGGCTGGAGCCCCCCAAAATGTAGCACAGGAGCATCTGAGATAACTAGATCTTTTAGCTCATCTACTTTTCTCAGTGATCATTCTCCAAAAACTGTCCCAAATCTTGTTTGTGCTGAGAATGATGAAGGATTTAGTCAAATATTCTGTAGGCCCACACATCCTACAGAAAACCTATCTATGTAGTCACTAACAGTTGACGCGAACTTGATGGCACATTATCAATCCAATCCCACACAACGGATGGGATAAATTTTTAACCTACCAATCCGTTTTTACAAGAGATGCAGCCAGACATCTCTGGAAGGGAGAACTTTATAGAAACAAAATTCAAAAGTGATCATGGGGCAAATGGATTAAAAAGAGAACACACTGAATACAATGAGAAAATACTGCATCCTGAGTCATTTGCTGAAAACCAGTCTTTATTTAACCCCATAAAGACTATCTCTGCACAGGAGGGAGATCTTGGAAAGCATGACAGAACCTTAAAGCTTAAAAAAGATATTTAGAGAGCAACCACCTTTGCCAACATACAAAACCAACCAAAAGAGTTTCAATCGGATGATGCTTGTTCAGGAATTGTGGAAAAGCAGTTGGCTGGAGGAGGGAAACAGAAACTTGGAAAGAAAATGAAGGATCCTGGACCACTCCAGCACAGCCTGGAGTGTTCTGAAGGAACAGCACCATGCAGATTCCATTAATATTTTTACCAAAAAGCAGAAATGGTCCCTTGAAACTCCCTACCTCTGCAGGATTTCTGATGCCAGATTTGCAGCCTCCAAGCAGGAGAACTGAACCGCCACACCTCTGATGCCAAAGTTGGATTGCAGAGCAAGCAGGCTTTCAAACGATCTCAGGTAGCGCTGGTAAGTGGTTTTGTTCAAGCCAGAGAGTTTCACAAAACAATTCTTTAGAGGAAAAACAAAGCAACAATGAAGTCTTTTCTCTCCCAAACCTGCATGTAGTCACTCACAAGCCACCATTTAACAACAGGTTATTTTATACTCCTTATAGGCACTGGACCATTTTTGGCTTTATTCGTAGGCCCGTCTATCAGTTGGACAGCATGGGATCTACCACCATTTAAATCTTTATATGCATCAACAGCACTCTTCCCAGGTTGATTTTTATTAAATTATGTTTAAAAGGCCCATTGCCTCCCAAAGTTCACGACGAATATTGGAATCAACAAAATGGTGCCCCAATCTAGCAAACTCTTGTGTCAGGAGAAAAAAAGTTCGTGCATCTTTTGTAAGATAGTGAATGGGATGCAATATCAAGCCAAACCCATAAGAGTGCAACTTCCCTGGTGTAGAAGGCCACAGCACCCCCTTTTTCTTAACTCCCAAAACTAAATTATTTAATGCCAAGTGTGTGTGTGTGTGTGTGTGTGATTCCTAGCACTAGAAACTCAAGAACAGCTTGTTGTTCCTATCCTATTTTCCATCAGCTAGACATCTACGGAAACACCATCGCCTAATTCTCTAGCTGCCCTAAAGATTTCTGCATAAAAGAGCAACGCAAAGGAAAACAAAGCAAGGCATTTGGGAAGGAAATGGCAAGACCGTATAATTTAAAAACAGATTTTTTTGTTTACTTTGTCCACAGGATTCCTTGTGAAGGTAGCAGCCAAATCCAGGCAGATCACAGCACTGCTTGTGGGGCTCATCTGGGCTAGCAAGGGGGCACACTTAACCTGAGAGAGTCGTAAATATTCCTCTGCTTTTCTGTAGAGCCACAAAGAGAAAAAGGCCATTCATCAGTATGACAGACAAGGGAACAGATGACTTCTTCTTTCATAGCTCTTCTGTTCACAGCTGTTTAACTGCAACACCTAATCTTTAGCCATTAAATAATCCTCTACATACAGAAGATTATCTCAGGTGGTGAAGGTTAAGGAAAAGCAATTATGCTTAAATTTCCAGGAAACATCCTCAAGGAAGATGCTGGATTTGAAGGCCTCTGACCTCGGAGTCCTCTGGCCTTTTAATATCTAAAGTAGGAGTCTTTCTGATAGTGTGGACTACAGCTCCCATCATCTCTTGCTGGGCTATGTTAATTATACCTTGAACTCATTCAATAAACACAGTACTCTGGATGGATTATAACTCAGTTAAGAACATGCCGCGCAAAACAGGATCAAAACCCACCTAGAAACCGCCGCTTAATTAAGGGAAAAGATTACCCAAATCAATACAGAGAAATACATCCAGGGAGAAAATTACAGTAATAAAACAGGGCGACGTCCTAAAAGCCTTATTTCTCTAAATCGATAGCAGACGGTCTTCATCAGACCTTGAAAGGGCAAACACGTGCTGCGGAGGCCATCCTGAAAGGAAGCTCCAACATCTGGACGATCACAGATGGGTTGGAGGTTTTAATTTTTATTTTATTTTGGCCGGCGGTGGTTTTTCCAGCACAGCTAAGGGAAACCTCCAGAGCCAGAGGCAGTCTATCTCCCCTGAACCCCATCTTGTCGAGAGAGGCTGCCGCCTGGAGGCCACCCTTTCGGGTGCAAACACGAAAAAGTATGGACGCGGGGGGGGCAGCGGCGAAGCAGGAGTGAATGAGACCCCCATATAGAAGGCCCTCCATGGACTACAGTGCCCATCATTCCCGGCCAGAAAAAAGGGGGTGCCGCTGGGGGTTATGATCCAGCTATATCTAGCTGCAAACACCTCCCTCCCCCCCCCGTTCACCTGATAACTCCG